CCACATCCAGACCCTAAAAGGGGTGGTGGGGTAGCCTAGTGGTTAAAGCGTTCGCTCCTCACGCCGCAGACCTGGTTCGATTCCCGACATGGGAACAATGTGTGAAGCCCATTTCTGGTGTCCCCCGCCGTGATATTGCTGGAATATTGCTAAAAGCGGCGTTAAACCATACTCACTCACTCCAGACCCTAAACAAATCTACTCAAAAGAGGCTAAGGACCACCCAATTCTTTCATATTACTACAGTTAATCTCTCACAGCACGACCCACTAACTATTGTAATTTGAAAGAATACAGTGATCCTAAACATCTTTTGAGTAGTATATCTGAGAACTCCCAAGCAAGTTTACATAACTTTGGCAAGTCTAGAATCTCAAGCGTCTTTTTATTATATACTACTCAAAAGAAGTTAAGGATCACCTGATTCTTTCATATTACTATAGTTAATCTCTCATGTCATGACAGATTTACTTTACCATCATGAAAGAATCAGGTGATCCTTAACTTCTTTTGAGTAGTATATATTAAATAGATTTTAACCAAATATATTCATATCACAGATTAAATGTTGGTCCACAAAAAATCAACCAGTGTCTATTTTGACCCCTCATGTCCACAGTTACTTCATTAATTCATTTTCAATGTGATATTTTAAACTATTGGTAAAAGTGGAATACAATGTCTAGCATGTGTCTACCAAAGACAATATACTTCATGTGACTTGTTATATCTACCATTACTTCAGTAAACACTTTCAAGGAATACTTAAATGATTGGTTGGTTGGTTTGTTGTTAAACTCCGCACTCAGCAATATTCCAGCTATATGACGGCGGTCTGTAAATAATCGAGTCTGGACCAGACAATCCAGTTATTGACATCATAAGCACCGATCCACGCAATTGGGACCAATGACATGCATCAACCAAGTCAGCGAACCTGACCACCCAATCCCATTAGTCGCCTTTTACGACAAGCATAGTCGCCTTTTACGGCAAGCATGGGTTGCTGAAGACCTATTCTACCCTGGATCTTCACGGGTCCTTAAATGAATACAGAACAACTTAACATGTGGCTACCCTATTATGTATGTTCTTATCCCTGACTTAGACAGGTACTCGTACATATCCCATGAAGATCTGGGTTAGAATTGATTTTCAGCAACCCAAGCATGTCATAAAGGGCATCAAATGAGGATCTGTTCTTCAGACCTGCTGACTTGGTTGATTCATGTCATTGTATCCCAACTGAAAGATAGATGCTCATGATGTCAATCACTGGATTGTCTGGTACAGACTTGATTATTTACAGTCTGTCGTCATATACATGATTTAGATGGGACATTGCTGGATGCAGTGTTGAACAACAAACAAACAATAGCTATTGTGTAGGCAGAGCTCCAAATAAGCAAAAAGAAATCGCCATTACCCAATTAATTTTAATGTTGTTTGCATTCAAATATGCATGAATTTTTTTTTTAAATTCAATAGCATAACAACACTCTGAGTAATTACCCAAAGCATCCTTTTCAACTTGGTTACTTGTATTTTAATGATTGAAAACAGAAATCACCGATACACGAACTCTACTGCAGTGATATTGCATAAGAACACTACATCTTGCCTATTTTTAGTTAGACACGTATATCACTGTTGTGAGTCTTCGTGACATGCACACACTTGGGTCAGCACACGAACAGATACTAATAAGAAATCGCCTGAAATAACAGTTTGAGCAGAACTAATATTTTAAAAAATGTCTACTTATTGCAATATCAAAATACCCAATAGACTCAAGGGAGTAAAAATATATTGAACACTGAAAAACTATCAATGCCCAATATGTATGATAACGAGAAAAACGCAACGGCTCAAAGCGTAATCTGGTGCTCTGTGTTGGCAATATAGAGTTATTAGTGTAAGAGGCTTGGTCAAGTTATTACTGTGGGAGTCTATAATTGGATTACTCATGATTACTGCTGATTAATCTAATTACCCGCAGTAACAGCTGGGCCAACTTCCCCTCCCAGCATGCACCAGGTGTTCACCAACACAGCACATGGTCCAACATGTGGAAACTACTTATCACCAAATAAATGATATAAGTTCAGCATCCAAATTAAACAAAAAGGGATTAATCGTGAAATGGAGCTTTCAAAATATTAAACTTTCCTTGTTAAATTGTTATCTTTTTACATTAATCCTATATTGTGTAAACATATCAGCATGTATATATACTACTCAAAAGAAGTTAAGGATCACCCGATTCTTTCATATTGGTAATGTTAATCTGTCATGGCATGAAAGGTTAACTATTTTAATATGAATGAATCAGGTGATCCTTAACTTCTTTTGAGTAGTATATATTTACTCATTATGCTCACCAAGCTTGTTTGTTAATCACCGCACTCAGCAATATTCTAGCTATATGACGGCGGTCTGTAAACTATCAAGTCTGGACCAGACAATCCAGTGATTGACATCATGAGCATTGATCTACACAATTGGGATATGATGACATGTATCAACCAAGTCTGTGAGCCTGACCACCCGATCCCGTTTGTCACCTCTTACGACAAGCATAGTCGCCTCTTACAGCAAGCAGGGCTGCTGAAGACCTATTCTAACCCGGATCTTCACGGGTCTATGCCTACACACCATTCCCCTGATGAAGCATTCACCAAGAAGTAGCCCTGAAATGTTCATAAAAACAATAAAGAAGTTGTTATCCACAAACATTTCAAGTCTTCATGTCTCAGTTCAACAGTATTAACACCCTCCTCAGTTCAACAGTATTAACATACACAGTAGTTTCAACAATACTAACAAACACAATCATTTCAACAGTTTTAATAATAAAGCGACAAAAACCTTTCCATATCCAGTAGAAATATCTGCATAAAGCAAGAGTCGATTGTATGATTCCGACTATATCATAAGCATGTGTTTATGAATCACTAACAAATAGTGATGACACCAGGTGTTTGCGAAAAGGTGAGCTTATCCTGCCCCATTGGTGACACGTCACCAACACATGCAAAGCCAAGTCAATTTTTCGCCTGAAAAAGAAAATGGGACCAAATGGTACAAGTCAGAATAGGGAACTGCATCGGACATAATTTTTGTCACTGATGCGTCAAATTTGGAAATGTCCTCCATATGTCTACCATAAAAGCTTTTGAGAAGCTTTACTGAGGCCAACAGTTTTAACACACACAATATACCACATTTTCAACAGTCACAACAGTTCCTGTGGTATCCAAATCGATGCAGCTGAACTCTCATTTCACCAGAACATGCGAATCAATAACGACTTCACAACTCAAGTGGCAGGTTCTGACATGTGGTTTCATCCTGTAACTTTAATGAAGACAACTGAATGAAAGTAATTAAAGCTTGATGAAACCGAACCCAGCGTTTTCTGGAACGGAATCTTGTCTCAAAGCTCCCGTCTGGGTCTTAGCACCAACACCTGTTAGCTATCATATACTTGAAACGGGGGAAGATAGCATTAAACTCACCACAGAAAGTACAGCACACACTGATAGAGCTTGAATGCTGCTGATGAGGTAAAAAAAATATTGACTCGCTTGCTGAATAAACAGAGCATGAAGTCGTATTTCCCCCCACACTGATCAATTATTCAATATGTTTGTCTCCGCCAGAGTTGTGGTTGTGAGGGTGGTGACAGACCCAACTACTTACAAATCCATGTATTGACAGCAGACAAGAACAAGGGCATGTCTCATGACCAGGCTTACTGAGAAGGGAAATTACGCATCAGATCTTCTTTTCTTGTGAAAAATACATTCACTACACTACAATACCAGGAATGAAAAGGAAACAAGAATGGTTAATCTGGTTTTAAATATTTTTTAAAATTTTTTTTTCGTTTTTCTACTATTTCCCTTTTTTCTATGTATAGCCAACAGTATGGTAAATATCAATTCATATGTCAACGTAAAAAGAACAAAAATCTTATTTCGAAATGATAAACATGAACAGACAATAACAATATGGTGAGATATCATTGTTATATTTATATTTGGTACGTATCAGTATGTAAAACTGTCTTTTTTTCTAAATTTGATCACACAAAATAACATTCGGCATTGTGACTCATTCAGTCAACATGATTAACAAAACTATGAATAGCAGGAAGATGCGAAAACATCACATCAGTGTCACTTTCCTAAGTTCTAGAACCTTACACTTGGCACGACATTGGGCATCTTCGGTGAGTGTATATACATGATGAGTGTATGTGAGTCAGCTGATTGTATCCTAAATCAGAACAACACTTCATGAACACGACTTCCTGGCACAGCCACCTCTACACATACCTACACACCAAACTGGCTAGATGACCCCAACATCACCCCTAGCTGGACGGGCAACACGAGCCCTGACCCACAAACAAGTCGAGATATATTGCAAACAAACAGATCTCCAAAAGTTACAGTTTTCTGGCTTCAGGGACATAAGACACACACAGAGAATGAACGATCGAGTTCCGAAACTTAAGCGAACGTGCTACAGGAATTTCAAAATGGTAACGTGAAAAACAGATGTTTTCAACATAAATGGTACCTAACTAACGCCCGTTCCCGAAACAATATACCCATTCATTGAACTTGCGTGAAATAGATGTGTGATATGATGATGTATTTTATAGAATAAGCATAAAACGTTGCGATAGGGTTCTACAATGTATGTCAATGTTACTTGGTACTCAGGAATCGCAGCATCCATTGAGAAAGTAGCGGCTTCCAATATACATACATTGTAATACATCGCGATACTGAGTTGCAATACACAAGGCAATAACAACGGTAATGCACCGTCCGTAGCACGGGCTCTGCGCAAATGATTGACAGGATTAAGGAATCAAGTTAGACAAGAGGTGTGAAGCACGCGCATTTCGTGCCGGTTACGTGAAAACGACACGATGTGATGAAGCTAGTGTCAAATAAAGACTGAAATAGACAAGAAAAGTGTCTTACCAAACACAGTGACAACACAGAAATATGTCCACAAGTCGGCTGTCTTCGCCATCGTCTTGGCAAAGTATAAATCCAGCGTGTTTCTACATCAGTTTAGTGAGGTAGGCAATGCCACTCCGACACAATATCACCCGTAAAAACACCCGATATTCCGTTGAAGGGTTGACATTCATAGTTCACCCTCGCTTGCGGTCAGTTCTTCCATGCTGAATCGCTCGGATCCGTCGATGTATTAATCCGCCCTGTCATATAATCACATCCGCGAAGACCTATATGTCACGTCCGAAGATTCTCTATCATAAGCAACAAACTACGTTCCGTGTGATCAATATTCATCAAAACATAATATATTAATACCGAGTGATTGAAACTTTCAACGTCTTCGACCCAATTGCAGGGACTATTTTCTTGGCCCGAAGTTGATGTCGGCTGCTAATATATTCAAGCGAGGTCATGTGATCTAATTATTGGTCTCGTGCGCTCGAGCGGGGAATGAGATCGGTTTCAAAGGACGGCGTGCAAACAGTGGCTCGTTGTGGTGATATTGTGATATTCTACTAGACCAGCGGGTATCCAGTATCCTTGGGGGCACCCGATGGCCGTGTTAATTGCTTTTCCATTCAAACAATACTTGGACCTTTGCATACCCTTTTATTTAGTATACCATGCGAGCTTTTTCATTGGAGACTTTTCTTTAATTATTTTTTATTTCACTTCCTCAAAATTTAATGTGAGGCTAGACGTGTGGTGGGTGGGGCGTTATCACCCTACAGCTGTCACCCCTTAATGTTTGATGGTAATTAAATATGTCATGTCTCCTCACCCAAACCCTTTCAACCCTCTGAGTTGTTACATGTTCCAGAATATTTTCCCCATCATTAGATATATAGCGAAACAAGGGATATTTACACTTTCTTACTAAAAAGACGTGTAAATATCACATTTTGCACTTCATACACTCTGCCGGTCACCCGTGGGATTCCGGGTAAGTTTATAGGTCCCCGGGAACCCATGTTTGTCTTAAGTGGCAACTAAATGGTCAGACACGGTGCATGACTTGGTTGATTACAGATCATCGTATCCTAATTCCGTGGATCGATCATCGGCTCTCGGTGTCAATCATTGGATTGTTTGGTCAAGACTCGACTATTTACAGGCCGAATATTTCGAGTGGGGTGTGCGACGTTAAAGAAACCAACGAACTGCATGTTACTTTCCTCTTGTAAACAACAGTTTGTGTACATGCACTGTAAATCTTTACCGTAAGACATGCTGTAGTTTACTGTTAACACTTACAGCGCTTCGGTTGTATCTATACTGTAGCGTACTATCAGACTAACGGTAAATTGTAATTGTGTTCTTTCGTGGTCTGCAATATTAGGGTTTTCACCGGAAATAGAAGCATGCATTGCGGTAGTGGATTGCCGCCATTATTTGAGTGAGTGAGTTTGGTTTAACGCGGGTTTGATGTGTGAGGAACCACTGTTTGAGACATATTCTTTTTTCTATTAAAATCTTATTTCTTTTTTGTTTGTCGATGAGAAAATGGGTCTCGACGACTTATCTGAGCATTCGCGCCGTGCATGCGTACGCGTGTTGTGCCCATTGTAGGTTCAAGGGCACCACATACGCGCGTGTGTGTTTGGTGTGGGATTGAGTGAGTGATTGAGTATGGTTTTACGCCGCATTTAGCAATATTCCAGCAATATCACGGCGGGGAACACCAGAAATGGGCTTCACATATTGTACCCATGTCGGGAATCGAACCCGGGTCTTCGGCGTGACGAGCGAACGCTTTAACCACTAGGCAACCCGGCCGCCCCGTGTGGGATTGAGAGGGGTGTACGTTAAAAATAATACTTCATATATTTTTTACCATTCATACTCCGATTCAAGTATAGATGCCGTACATGATCACATTCATTTCTGAATAAAAAATGATATTTGAGTCAGACACTTGGCTACATGAATTAAAATATTCTAAGGTGCAAAGCGTATTTGACAAACCATCTTCTACTTTGGGTAAAAAACAGCTTGACTTTTTGCGGTAATCGTTATGATATAAACGGTTTATGTAGTTACGTAATAATGTTAGTTTAACTGCAAACCGTGATTAGTACTGTAAAAAGCTGGCAGCACAGATGACGATAATTTACCGTAAGAAATACGGTAAAGGTTTACAGTATATGGTGTGTAATAGTTTTCATGTGGGCCAGTGGTTGCAGAACGATCTTTATGATGAAAACCCGGGTTTTGAACCCAACATAGGTCAGTGGGTGCAGCTTATCGCGATTCACCCACTGTAATACTTGTCCTTGACCCGTGAAGATTTCGGGGTAGAATAGGTCTTCAGCAACCCATGCTTGCCGTAAAAGGTGACTATGCTTGTCGTAAAAGGCGACTAACGGGATCGGGTGGTCAGGCTCGCTGACTTGGTTGATGCATGTCCTCAATCCAAATTGCGTGGATTGATGCTCATGATATTAATCACTGGATTGTCTTGTCCTGACTCGATTATTTAAAGACCGCCGTCATGTAGCTGGAATATTGCAGAGTGCGGCGTTAAACAACAAACCAACCAACATAGCATGACAGGTGAACATTTTCCTTCCGAAATATAGTCTCCATAGCTTTATTAATACATTTGGGAACACAGGTGGCTCGCAATTCGCTGTGCAGAGTTGCGTCCCTTAGGTATGCCAGGGACCTATGATTGTGGGTTTGAATCCCGGTTCGCCCTGATTACGTTTCTAGGTTTGTCAGCACCATACCTGGGTTTCACCAAAGTGGTTAACATCTGAGACCTGCATCACTTCGGGCTTTCCTCCACATCAAGCTGACACGTAGTGATATAACTGGAATATGGTTAAAAGCGGCGTTAAGCCAGCTTACTGACTCACTTATTAATAAATTCAACACGACGCCAAGGTTCAGCTCCCGCCACGTTCAGGCGATGACAGGCAATGGTGTTACAGAGTGGAGGTAAGCCTCACGTCAATCACTCATCACGTGATGACAAGGATGCTCATGCATAAACATCAAAGTTCAGTCAAGTACGTATATGTGTAAGTCTTGCAGAAAACACGATGAACAGTGTATAGGAGGAACGTGATGAATGGATGCTTGAGTCCTAAGACATCAGGAAACTAATAGTTCGTCCTGAAAACAACATGGCACAAATATGAATGCTGTTTAAAACGCCCTCGATTATCCGCACACGGGTTTCTGGGTAAGAATGTCCCCAGGAACCTATATGCTGGACTTGACGGATCGGGTGGTCAGGCTCGGTGACACTCGTCACCACTCGCCCCTTTCCGTAACCTGCATTCGGCTTGTCCCGGAATAACACGAGTTGGTCACGAATGGCTCGGTGACTTGGTTGACAGCGTGTCATCGCACCCCGACGGCTTGGATTGTTGCCAACAAAATCGATCACTGGATTTTCTGTCCCACATTCGATTATCACAGACCGCCGTCATATAGCTGGAATATTGCCGAGCGCGGCGTTAAACAACAAACATATTATTGGAGGTGTATTCCTTACAATGAAGGTTTTAACGAGTTCTTTAACATGTTGAGAAATCTCGTCAATCCAAACAATCGTTAACCACCCAAAACCCACCCCACCCCACCCTCCACCACGAAATTCGGGTTGATACCGTATGGTGACTGGGACACAGCTGACATATCTACCCGTTACCGTCAGGTCCAAACTGACTGGCTTCCCAGGTGGCCACCCGTCCAATATGACTCGCGCTCCACCGTATACAGCAGTCAGCCGACGACGTGCATGGTCTTGAACAAGAGGTGGGTAGGAGGGGTAGGGAATTGATGATCCGAGGGTGCCAATCTCCCCATTCCCTGTATCCCGTATACCATCTCACATTTCACATCGAGTCTCATTGCTTACCTCTGAATTTGAAGTTAAATTACTGAAAAATATCGAAAATATATAATATATAATGAACACTTTCACGTACACCAATATATTTGTATAAAATGTTGAATCTGAATACCAGATATGATTTTATTTGCGTGCCGCGTACCACACTCTGACTGATGAGTTCCGAATACCCTCTAAATACACCCCGAATCCGCTTACCAAAAGGGGTTGGTAGCCCCACATCCGTTTAGACGAGACCCGTGAAGATTCCGGGGTAGAATAGGTCTTCAGCAACCCATGCTTGCCGTAAAAGGTGACTATGCTTGTCGTAAAAAGGCGACTAACGGGATCGGGTGGTCAGGCTCGCTGACTTGGTTGATGCATGTCATCGATCCCAATTGCGTGGATCGATGCTCATGATATTAATCACTGGATTGTCTGGTCCAGGCTCGATTATTTACAGACCGCCGTCATATAGCTGGAATATTGCTGAGTGCGGCGTTAAACAACAAACCAACCAACCAACCAACCGTTTAGACGATGTTTTTTTTACGGTTTTAGCTATTCGATGGAGTCCAATTACTCAGAAACTAATTACACAAGCTTAATTATAGTACTATATTTGCTGTACGGCTCCATCAAATAAATCGATAGTTTACTCAAATATAAAGATACAGGTAAACAAAAATCAAACGAAGATAGCAGCTGTTAACTAGTTAAATATGAATGTTTATATACATTTTATGTATCGTCTCTGTTTTTGTCGTTGCAAACAGTGCATATATTTTGAAATAACACGCTTTTATCATGTATATCAAAGTTTAAATATTGTCTTTTAATGTTTCCTGTTTTTTAATGTTAACTGTTTTATACTGACTCGGTGAAGTTACCTTGCCGTTTTCCCGTTATGTTTTTGAGGAAAGCATATGACTATATAGTTCTTACCCTTCCGGCAGAAATATTGCCGACGCGACGTTAAAAATGACGTTAAAAATGAACTCACTCGCTGACATTAATGTAAACGATTTTGCACTTGAAACAAAATTAGCATGTATTTTATTACCATTAAACCTACAGCCACTACGCAAAATAAAAAAGAATTCAGCTGCACGGATTTTTTTTATTGCGACCTGTACCTATGCATATTGGTTTACCAAAGATCCGTTAACTGTCAAATAAAACAATGTGCGGCTTTATCTTCTTTGTGTATTTAAGAAGGATAAACGTGTTAACACGTATTTACAACATGCATGTGCAGGTGCTTATCAGGATATGACTGCATCTGCTGCGCCGGATGTTCTGATGTAACAACATGGTGTATATATTACTTTTACAAATGCGTGTGAGTTATTCAGTTGAACGCTACACGGTTGGTTTGTATATGTAGTCACTGTGAATGGACTATTTTGGAATACTTTATATACTAGTATATGTAGAATGGTGTGGTTTATTTCTCACAGTTGGTGA